CACTTCCCTGGCAGGGCTTGAGGGGAGCTAGGGCAAAGACACCCTGTAATTTCACTGCCATGAAATTGGCTCCAGATGGAAGTGGAGAGGTGTTCACTCCCTGCTGGGGCCGGGAGGGAACCTGCGGGACCTACATCTTAGGTTCCTAATTACCTGGTGCTGGGCAGCAACCCCACTGAGAGGCTGGCCAGGACTCACGGGGACGGGTGAATCCTGCTGTCTGTTGCTCAGGGAAGGTTGTTTTGATTCTAATGACTTTCACATGGACTGTGGGTTTGGGGGAAGGCACTGTGGCCAGGGTCTGGAGGAAAGGGAGGAAGCAAAGAGGTGCTTCCCTATGAGGCATCAGAATTGACGTGTCTTGTCAGCACTTTCTGGTTGCATTTCCAGAACCCAGCTCTGCTCTGGAGGAGTGGGACTGTGGCATCCTCTGCAGTGTTCCCAGACCTCCTCATGCCCCCCAAACCCATGATTCACAAGAATGTCTCTTCCCCCTTGGGTTGACACGTGGCCAGCTCAGGGGTGGAGGAGCTCAGCAGCTACCGACCCAGACGGGATGTTGACTGAGAGCTTTGTGGCCATTGCAGATGGGAGGGGTTAGCTTTACCCACTCAGAGATGCCAGGATCCCACTGACTGGTGTGGAATTGTGCCTCTCCCGCCTTTTCAGGGAGACTAGCCAAGACTGCAGGCTGAATGCAAGGGTGTTCTCTGGCTTATAGCGCCCCCTAGCACTGGCCAGAGGGATATGACTTCGTGAGCTCTCCAGGGAGCTACCACCTGCCTTTTTGAACACTGAAAGGTCAGTGGTGCTGATGGTTGGACCCATTCAACCAATACTTTCTGAACTCTTTGTTACCAACACTCAATCTTTGTTCTCAAGGAGCTTTCAGCACAGGAAGGGAAGCAGACTGTTTAATCACAGCAGAGTCAGCTAAGTGTTGTGAAAGAGGGAGCCACGGGGTATTGTAGGTATACGTGACAGGGAAATCAGGGAAGGGGTCCTGGAGAGTGTGACATCTAAGCTGAGATTTGAAGGATGGAGAAGTTCAATGGATTTTGTAAACAAGAAGTAGAGGCAAAAAAGGAGACATGTTTTCTGGCTTTTTAGTGTACATAATCCAATGCATAGACAGATGAATAAGGAACTACAAGGCGCTCTACCAGAAACGAGACCTTCAGTCTCTCCTCTGCCTTCACCATCACAACAGTCTCTGAAGTTCTTTGTTTCCAGCCTTGAGTCTTAGAGAAGAGGGCAGAATAGAGACTCAATAAGTGCCGATTGACCAATTGAGGGATGTTCTTTTGTCTTGGGCACATTCACTTTGTGTCTAATCTGTTTAAACGGCAAGATGTGTCTTCCTTCAGAAACAGTCACCTTGTCCTTGAGACTTTCCCATGGGATTTTAGACTTTTCTAGTGAGAGGGATCTTGAAGCCCATTCAGTTCTGTCTTTTGTCCAATAAAACATGGAGACTGCGGCCTGGACAGGTGAAGTGACCTGTCTACATAAGGCAGGCACATGGCCATTCTGCAGCAATGTTGGGAACAAACGTCTTATACCTTTTAATTTGTTTTTTAATTCCCTCCTAGCCTCTTTTTGATCCCTAAAAAAAAAAGTTTCCATGCATCTCTTTGTGCTGATATGTCTGGAATGTCTTCAAAAGTTACTAGCTAGTAATTAAGAAAAGAAAAAAAGAAATGTACCAGAGATAAACCTCTCCAGAGCTATATCTGTTCTGATCGGCTCAGAGGATGATTACTATCATAACAGAACTATTTCATCAGGGTAGGTGGAAGCTCCTCATTGGCAGGGCACTGTACAAAGAGACGGTGCAACTGATTTTGTCTACAGTTCTGAGAAGGAGATCTGGAATCTGCAGATGGCTGGGATTCCCAAAGGCAGAGCACAAGCGTAAGGTCACAAGCTATCATTGCAAGGAATGATTCCCATAACATGATGTCGAGAACCAGATAGGGATTGGCAGCTGCACCATCACCCTGGCTCTGCCACTGGCTGACCATGAGACTTTGTGTGAGTTCCTGCACCTGTCCGAACCTTATTTTTCCCAGGTATAACATGAGGGTGGGTACTCTCTGCAGTTCTGCGTACGACTTATATATGCCAATGAAACCACTTGCATCTTATACCTTGATACAAAGTGGGAGGACATGAACTCACCTTTCCTAGAAAAGTTCCAGAAAAGTAACTATCAGGTCAGTCTTATAGATCTGAGGAGAGGCCAGATAGGTGTTAAAACCTCCTCTGTTCTTCCTAGATTATATAAAGCTATTCTTGTTCTTAGCTGTCAAGAAAGCAGGAGAGGCAGTCTCTTTATTCTTACCACGAGTTCCAGGTCCACTCAATCTGGCATTTTAAGGAGACTTGTTAAAAGCAATCCTTACTATTAGACACGTGGACACTGGGACACCCATGCTGAGGGCTGTAAGTCTGCCTGCTACAGGGGCTGGCCCTAGAAGGAGGGCTTCCCTGCATGAGATTCATGGAGTTTACTCTTTCTCTTTCTTTAAGGTGACGACTGAGGGGACCTCATGCGTGGTGGGTGATCAGAGGGGAGCCACATGGCACCAGGGAGAACTTCCCATCTGAAAGGCTCTCAGGGATTGCCAAACTTCAGAGATACTCCGTGGACTACTTTAGGATAGGGAGTGGGAGGAAACAAACTAAGACAATTTCACTACCTTTTTGCTGGAAAACCAAACAACTTACACTGGCTTACATAATTAAGTAGCTGCTACCATCAAATGCTTTAGATGCTTTCTGGGAGAAACCTGCTGCTTGAAGTTCCACAGAAGTTATCTGCCTGCTACTCATATTCCAGGAAAAACTTTTCCTTGGAAAAAATATTGGCATGTTGGAAAAAAAAAACTGTAATGTGAAAAGAAAGAAGACAGGACCCGTATCATGTAAGATGCTTATCCAAAGTGGATTTGGTCTGGAAAGCCTTATAAAACCTTCCACATGACTGGCACTGTGCAGGGATAAGCGAATCTCTCAAATCCCACCAAGTATGTCCTCATTCAACCTCGATTCTCGGAGGAGTCCGAGGGGTGCCCACTGCACTGGCCTGAAAGGGCTGTGAGCTGCACCTACCTCAAGTCTCCCGGGACCCGATTTTGTTCTCAGAGGCTGAAAAGCATGGCCAAATAGCCATGTCTCAAAGTATCTCTAGTGTAATTGGGGAAATAATGCGATCATATCCTATGAGAACAGGGCTGCAAAAACATTGAGAGACTTCTAAACACTGGTTAGGGACAGGACAGAAGGATGTAGAAACCGGTTTTGCCTTCCTTACATCTAAAATATTTAAGGAGGGAAAAGGAGTTTTTAAAAATGTTCCTGGAAATGCATAATCTCTTTGTAAACAGGATGTGAGAGAGAAAGGGAGAGACCAAAGTATAGAACGATGGAAGATGCCGCTGAGAAAGGGCATTTGCACAGGTAAATCTAACTGTGGTTGAAGTCAGGGAAATACGTGTCTCTTAAGATTGGAAGAAAGGAGTGGACCGAGTTCCTGGCTGTTTGCCACACCAACCCACCTGTTTGTGCCTGTTTCCCCACCTGAAAGTACGAATGATGCTTGTGTTTGCTTTTCCTATCTAGAAGGATTCTTGCGAGGTATAAGGAGGTGAGGTATGAAATCCTGCTTTTAACAACACAAAAAGCAGAATCAACATGTTACTTAATAAGGATAATAATCGTATTGTGTGCAATTATAGCCTGGACGACTGTCCAGGATCTGGTTTTACTCCAATTTTGGATCAATTCACCCCAAAATTGCTTGCTGAAGGATGAAGAGAGCTGTCTGCCATGGTACCACTTGTTCCTGCTCTTTTCTGTTCTTCAAACAAACTCAGAGCCCTTGTAGCTTGTACTGTCTCCCTGCCTGGTGCCCTGTCCCCAGGACTGCCACAGCGCTGATTCTTTTTCCTCATGTCTCTGCTAGGATGTCACCTCTGAGAACCCTTGCTTCCTACCCCACAGAAAGCAGCCCCCTCCCTAGTGATTTCTAACACTATCAGTCTGTTCTGTGGTTTTGCTAACACTAACACCATAGAAAATGACCCTGTGTATTCATGGATTTCCATGAGAGCAAGAGCTTTGTCTTGCTTAGCCCTCATCTACAAGAGGGTTTGTTGAATGAATTCCCAACCTCATTCGCTCTGGATGAGTCCAGGAAATTTTACGGTCTATTAGAGCCAGCTCCAAACGGCAGATGGCTTCCGCATATTCAAAAGAGTGGAAGAAAGAAAGGGAACAATATCACTGGTCTGGGTCTTGTCTTGCTCTCTGTGGAGGTGGAGGGGGAGCATTCCTCCCGGAGGTCCACCTGGCGCCTTCTTGGTCTCCAGAGCCAGGACCTCAGCTGGTGGGTGAGTGGTAGTTGATTACGGTTTGGGTCAGAGAGGTCCGGAGGATGGGGTGCGGGGAGGCGTGGGGCGAGGGTCCCGGCGAGAAGGGGACACAGGCGCAGCTCCGGGGGGGCCAGGCAGGGAACGCGGGTCTAAGGATTCAACCCGTCGGGGGGCAGCCCCGCCCCATCGCCCCGCGCCCCCGGCCCCGCCCCCTTTTTGGAGGGCCGATGAGGTAATGCGGCTCTGCCATTGGTCGAAGGGGGCGGGCCCCGAGCGTCCGAGGAGGGGGGTCCCCGGGAGACCCGCGCTATATCACTTGGCCGCCTAGGCAGCAGCCCAGAGCAGGCGGCAAGCGCTCACACACCTCCTCCTCCTCCTCCTCCGGTTCCTGCAGTTCCTCTCCCGCCCCGCTCCTTCGTCCGGACAGACTGCCCTCCACGCTCGCGGAGTCGTGCGACAGTGCGGAGAAAACTCGCCGCACGTCGTCGGGTCCCGCTTGGCA